GCAGTGGTTTGTAGTTCTCCTTGAAGAGGTCCTTCACATCCCTTGTAAGTTGTGTTTCTAGGTGTTTTATTCTCTTTGTAGCAATTGCAAATTTGAGTTCACTCATGATTTGGCTCTCTGTTTGTCTGTTATTGGTGTAAAGGAGTGCTTGTGATTTTCGCATACTGATTTTGCATCCTGAGACTTTGCTGAGGTTGCTTATCAGGTTAAGGAGATTTGGGGCTGAGACCATGGGGTTTTCTAAATATACAATCATGTCATCTGCAAACAGAGATAAGCTGACTTCCTCTCTTGCTATCTGAGGACCCTTTCTTTCCTTCTCTTGCCTGATGGCCCTGGCTAGAACTTCCAGTACTTCGTTGAATAGGAATGGTGACAGAGGGCATCCTTGTCTTGTGCTGGTTTTCAAAGGGAATGCTTCCAGCTTTTGCCTATTTAGTATGATATTGGCTGTGGGTTTGTCATAAATAGCTCTTACTATTTTGAGATATGTTCCGTCAATACTTAGTTTATTGAGAGTTTTTAGCATGAAGGAGTGTTGAATTATATTGAAGGCATTTTCTGCATTTATTGAGACAATCGTGGTTTTTATCATTCGTTCTGTTTATGTGGTGGATTACATTTATTGATTTGTATATTTTGAACCAGCTTTGCATCCCAGGGAAGAAGCCAACTTGATCATGGTGGATAAGCTTTTTGATGTGCTGCTGGATTCGTTTTGTCAGTATTTTATTGAGGATTTTTGCACCGATGTTCATCAGGGATATTGGCTCGAAATTTTCTTTTTAGTTGTGTCTCTGCCAGGTTTTCATATCAGGTTGTTGCTGGACTCATAAAATGAGTTAGGGAGGAGTCCCTCTTTTTCTATAGTTCATAATAGTTTTAGAAGGAATGGTACCAGCTCCTCTTTTTAACCTCTGGTAGAATTCGGCTGTGAATCTGTCTGATCCTGGGCTTTTTTTGGTTGGTAGGCTATTAATTACTGTGTCAATTTCAGAACTTGTTATTGGTCTTTTCAGGGATTCGACTTCTTCCTAATTTAGTCTTGGGAGGATGTATGTCCAGGAATTTATCCATTTCTTCTTGATTTTTCTAGTTTATTTGCATAGAGGTATTTATAGTATTTTCTGATGGTAGTTTGTATTTCTGTGGGATCAGTGGTGATAGCCCCTTTATCATTTTTTGTGTGTCTATTTGAATCTTTTCTGTTTTCTTCTTTATTAGTCTGGCTAGTGGTCTATCTATTTTGTTAATCTTTTCAAAAAATCTGCTCCTGGATTCATTGATTTTTTTTTTTTGAAGGGTTTTTCATGTCTCTCTGTCCTTCAGTTCTGCTCTGATCTTAGTTACTTCTTGTCTTCTGCTAGCTTTTGAATTTGTTTGCTCTTGCTTCTCTAGTTCTTTTACTTGTGATGTTAAGGTGTCGATTTTAGCTCTTTCCCACTTTCTCCTATGGGCACTTAGTGCTATAAATTTCCCTCTGAAACGCAGCTTTAGCTATGTCACAGAGATTGGTACGTTTTTGTCTTTGTTCTCATTGGTTTCAAAGAACTTATTTATTTCTGCTTTAATTTCATTATTTTCCCAGTAGTCATTCAGGAGCAGGTTGTTCAGTCTCCATGTAGTTGTGCAGTTTTGAGTGAGTATCCTGAGTTCTAATTTGATTGCACTGTGATCTTAGAGACAGTTATGATTTCTGTTCTTTTGCATTTTTTTGCTGAGGAGTGTTTTGCTTCCAATTATGTAGTCAATTTTAGAATAAGTTGATGTGGTGCTGAGAAGAATGTATATTCTGTTGGTTTGGGCTGAAGAGTTCTATAAATGTCTATTAGGCCCACTTGTTCCAGAGCTGAGTTCAAGTCCTGAATATCTTTGTTAACTTTCTCTCTTGTTGATCTGGCTAATATTGACAGACTTCATCTCCCACTATTATTTTGTGGGAGTCTAAGCCTCTTTGTAAGTCTCTAAGGACTTGCTTTATGAATCTGGGAGTTCCTGTATTGGGTGTATATATGTTTAGGATAGTTAGCTCTTCTTGTGTCATTGATGCCTTTACCATTAGGTAATGCCCTTCTTTGTCTCTTTTGATCTTTGTTGGTTTAAAGTCTGTTTTATCAGAGACTAGGATTATAACCCCTGCTTTTTCTTTGCTCTCTATTTGTTTGGTAAATCTTCCTCCATCCCTTTATTTTGAGCTGATGTGTGTCTTTGTACGTGAAATGGGTCTCTTGAATACAGTACACCAATGGGTCTTGACTCTTTATCCAATTTGCCAGTCTGTGTCTTTTATTTGGGGCATTTAGCCGGTTTACATTTAAAGTTAATATTGTTATATGTGAATTTAATCCTGTCAGTATGATGCTAGCTGGTTATTTTGCCTGTTAGTTGATGCAGGCAAATATGATGCAATTTCTTTATAGCATCAATGGTCTTTGCAATTTGGTATGTTTTTGCAGTGGCTGGTACTGGTTTTTCCTTTCCATATTCAGTGCTTTCTTCAGGAGCTCTTGTAAGGCAGGCCTGGTGGTGACAGACCCGCTCAGCATTTGCTTGTCTGTAAATGATTTTATTTCTCCTTAGAAGCTTAGTTTGGCTGGATATGAAATCCTGGCTTGAATATTCTTTAAGAATCTTGAATATTGGCCTCTACTCTCTTCTGGTTTTTAGGGTTTCTGCAGAGAGATCCACTGTTAGTCTGATGGGCTTCCCTTTGTGGGTAACCCAGCCTTTCTCTCTAGCTTCCCTTACCATTTTTTCCTTCATTTCAACTTTGGTGAATCTCATGATGATGTGTCTTAGGGTTGCTTTTCTTGACGAGTATCTTTGTGATGTTCTCTGTATTTCCTGAATTTGAGTGTTGGCCTGTCTTGCTAGGTTGGGGAAGTTCTCCTGGATAATATCCTGAAGAGTGTTTTCCAACGTGGTTCCATTCTGCCCATCACTTTCAAGTACACCAATCAAATGTAGATTTGGTCTTTTCACATAATCCCATATTTCTTGGAGATTTTGTTCATTCCTTTGCCTTCTTTTTTCTCTAATCTTGTCTTCTTGCTTTATTTCATTAAGTTGATCTTCAATCTCTGATATCCTTTTTTCTCCTTGATCGATTCAGCTATTGATACTTGTGTATGCTTCAGGAAGTTCTTGTGCTACGTTTTTCAGCTCCATCAGGTCATTTATGTTCTTCTCTAAACTGGTTATTCTAGTTAGCAATTCCTCTAATCTTTTTTTCAAGGATCTTAGCTTCCTTGCATTGGGTTAGAACATGTTCCTTTAGTTTGGAGGAGTTTGTTATTACTCACCTTCTGAAGCATACTTCTGTCAGTTTGTCAAATTCATTCTCTGTCCAGTTTTGTTCCCTTGCTGGTGAGTTGTGATCCTTTGGAGGAGACATTCTGGTTTTTGGAATTTTCAGCCTTTTTGTGTGTTCTTTTTCCCTCATCTTCATGGATTTATCTACCTTTGGTCTTTGATGTTGTTGACCTTCGGATGGGGTTTCTGTGCGGATGCCCTTTTTGTTGATGTTGATGCTATTCCTTTCTGTTTGTTAGTTTTCCTTCTAACAGTCAGACCCCTCTGCTGCAGGTCTGCTGGAGTTTTCTGGAGGTCCACTCCAGACCCTGTTTGCTGGGGTATCACCAGTGGAGGCTGCAAAACAGCAAAGATTCCAGCCTGTTCCTTCCTTTGGAAGCTTTGTCCCAGAGGGGCATATGCTAGATACCAGCCAGAGCTCTCCTATATGAGGTGTCTGTCGACTCCTCCTGGGAGGTGTCTCTCAGTCAGGAGGTACAGGGGTCAGGGACCCACTTGAGGTGGCAGTCTGTCCCTTAGCAGAGCTCAAGTGCTATGCTGCGAGATCTGCTGCTCTCTTCAGAGTTGGCAGGCAGGAACGTTTAAGTCTCTGAAGCTGTGCCTACAGCTGCCCCTTTTTCCAGGTGCTCTACCCCAGGGAGATGGGAGTTTTATCTAAAAGCCCCTGACTGGGGCTGCTGCCTTTCTTTCAGAGACGCCCTGCCTAGAGAGGAGGAATCTAGAGAGGCAGTATGGCTACAGTGGCTTTGCCAAGCTAAAAGTAACTTTTTATCTCTTTTAGTTTTGGGTTTTTTTTTTAAAGTAAGCAAATATGTAGGAACACATGCCAAAAAAAGTAAGCAAATATGTATTTATATTTTATCTTCTCCTTTCTTAGACAAAAGATAATGTTAAAGCACACAGTATTTGATAATTTGCCTTTTTTTTCATTTAACATTATACCCTACATTGCTAAGGTATAACCTCCAAGGTATATTGTTAAGTTTAAAAAAAAGCAAGGTGTGTAGTATTCTTCCTCCTTTTATGGCTGTTCAGTGATTTATGGTATGGACATTTATGTAACTGGTGCTGCACTGATGTTGTTTAGGTTGTTTCCAGTCTTTTGTTTTTATCAATAATGCTGCTTGTACATATGTTTAATATTTGTGAGGAATAGGTGACATTTTAGTTTCAGGAAATACTGCTTATATTTACTCTGTCTTGGTGGTTATAGAAGAAAATTCAGAAAACCTTTTTAGGTAGTTAAGTCCAAGAACCACTGATGACTTTATTGTCAATGCTTAGTTATTTAATTACCAAAGTATAAATAAAAACATTCACAGATGATGTTTTTAATGATTAAATACATGCAGGCTTTCTGGGGTAAGTAATGGTAAAGTTCAGTACTTTAAAAAATAATATTCACGCTAAGCAGTCTAAGGATCTTTTGTTTACTATGTTTTAATAGTAATGATTTCACACACAAATTTTAATGTACAGAAAACATTGCAAAATTCCAAGAAAATTTTATTAGAAACTGTTTTCTTTGTTTTTGCCTTTGTTCATGGAGTTTCTTAGAAACTCTGACAAGTGGTCCATCATTCTTACCTTCTTCCATAGTAGTTAAATGTAGCATAAATATAGCTTGCATGATTTATTGTGAAGATATTTCATTTGTGTGCCTTTAATATTTTTTTTTTTTTAAACAGGCAGTATAACTCCAACTGTGGAACTGAATGGGCTTGCTATGAAAAGGGGAGAACCTGCCATCTACAGGCCATTAGATCCAAAGCCATTCCCAAATTATAGAGCTAATTACAACTTTCGGGGCATGTACAATCAGAGGTTTGTATGTCTTTTTTGTTTTTTTTTTCTTAATATTTTATGCATGTTGTAAAAGTTTCTCAAACCCAAAGGAGTATTTTTGTTGTAAATCCAATTGATGCTTGGCATTTTGCATGGAATTTAGATAAAGCAGGTTCACAAGGAATATTTAAAGTAATAACTTAAAAAAAAAACAGTTTTCAGGAACTGTTTTTTTTCTCTACCCCACAAACCTAAAAGATTTGAAGGAATTAGTTTTTATTGTGTCGTGAGGGCCCTGTGTTTGTTGCAGAGAAGACCAAGTCTTAAAGTCATTTCACAGTTGGTAGTGCTGACTTTCCAGTTGACTTTCTCATTCATTTACCAAGCAGAGCTCAGTTTTTTTTTGATCTGCCCAAATACACGAATGAACGTGAATGTTTGTAATTTACAGGGAATTTATTGGAGGGAGGAAGCATTTACTGTCTTTCTGCACAGTAACAGTAGAGATGGGGTTTCACTTTGTGATAGTTACAAGTATAACAGAAGTTTCTTTTAGAAACATGGCAGAAGTTTCAAAATAAAGTTTAGTGTTTATTTTTTCTGTTCATAAAACTCATTGTAGGTATGTGGAAAATGCAGAAAGGAAAAAAGAAAATAGAAATAAGGCTAAATTTTGCCACTTTTTATATATTCATGTACTTTACATTCTTTTTTCTTTGCATTTAAATATATTTAACCAAGTTGAAGTTGTCCTTTATATGCAAATTTTTAGTAGTTTATGAGATAAAGTACTACAAAATAAACATGATAAACAAAATATAAAGCATGATAAATAAAATATGATAGACATACAGTAAAATGTAGAAATCTTAAGTGTACCTCTTGATGACTTTATTTTATGTGTATATGTATTTATACTTTATTTAATGACTTTTTACAGATATATATATATCCTCCTGTGATTGCCACTCAGATCAAAATATAAATGTTCACATCACCTGAGTTTCTTCAGACCTCTCTGTGCTTGACACACCCTCCTCCCAGAAATAATCACTATTTTTTTTTTTTTTTTACCATAGACTAGTTTTTGCCTGTGGTTGAACTTTTTAAAACTAAACTCATATAGCATTAATGTGTGGCTTCTTTCACTTTGTATAATGATTTTCTTGTTTGGGGAATCATCCATGTTGCTTATATCTGGGTTTTGCCCTTTTCTATTGCTGGTTAGTGTTCTTTGTATGGATATATCGTAATTTGTGTATCTTCTATATGCAATATAGTACTCTCTCTTCACTTATGGCTATTTGTCATATCCTTAATTTTAAAGAAATTTTTTCCTTTTTTCTTTTTGTTTTTGAGACAGAGTCTCACTCTGTCACCGAGGCTGGAATGCAGTGGTGTGATCTTGGCTCACTGCAACCTCTGCCTTCTGGGTTCAAGCATTTCTTGTGCGTCACCCCCCAGTAGCTGGGATTATAGGCATATGCCACCATGCCCGGTTAATTTTTGTATTTTGGTAGAGATGGGGTTTCACCATGTTGGCCAGGCTGGTCTTGAACTTCTGACCTCAAGTGATCTGCCCACCTCAGCTTCCCAAAGTGCTGGGATCACAGGCGTGAGACCCTGTGCCTGGCATGAAATGTTTTTGATGGCTGCATAATGCTTCATATGGCTTTATAAGGTATATAAATAAATATGTGCCTATTTTTTAATCATCTAGGTTGTTGGTGCCCCCTTTTTGTTAAGATTGCTGCAGTAAATAATCATTACGTAAATATTTTGTTTATATCACTTATTTCCTTCCTTCTATTACTATAAGGGGAATATTCTTTAAAAATAATAAAGTATTGCCCAATTACACTGAAGTTTGTACTAATTTCTTACAGTGTATGAGAATCCTTATTTTACTCTGACAACATTGAATTAAAAAAGTTTTTGTCTTTGATAGTTAAAAAGTAGTTTTTTTTTGTTTTTTTTTTTAACTTACTCTGTCACCCAGGCTGGAGTACAGTGGCACGATCTCAGTTCACTGCAACCTCTGCCTCCCAGGTTCAAGCAATTTCTGGTTAATTTTTGTATTTTTAGTAGAAATAGGGTTTCACCATGTTAGAAAGGCTGATCTCAAACTCTCAACCTCAAGTAATCCACCTGTCTTGGTCTCCCAAAGTGTTAGGATTGCACTTCACCTGGCCGTAAAGTAGTATTTTTAAAAATTCAGTTTATTGACTACTAGTGAGGCTGGACAGTTTTTCTTTTTAGATGTTTGTTAGTTTTTTATCTTTTTTGATTTTTCTATTATAATTTGCTAATTTTTATTCCATTGCTTCACCAGTTTTCAAATGTTTATATGTTGAGGTTGTTAGTTAACTTTCAGTATGTTTTGTTTGTTGTAATTTTCCTACTTTAAAAAATTTGGCTTTTAAGTGTGTATTTGTTTTTAATATCCTGTAGTTTTAAAATTTTATGTGGTCTAATCTATTGATTTTTCTTTTTATTTCTCTCATTGGTTTTATGCCTAAGAAATTATTTCCTAGATTTGATCAGATATTTGCTGATGTTTTTGTTATGGTTTTGTATATTTACTGATAATATAACTTAGATGTGTAGAGAGAATATTTAGTACATACATAATCTGATACTTTTTGACTTCTTGCTTGATAGGGGAAAAATTACCGTTAATCTTATCCATTTAAAACTCAGTCCTATTCAATTGTAAATAGTTTCCTTAAATATTATTGTTTATTATTGTTTAGATTCTCCAAGGAGAATTTGCATACTCTTAGACTTCTGCCATTCCCTTTTCTTCTCAGCTATGCCTGGGGGGAACTTGCTGAATGCTAGAAAGGGAGAGGCACCTATACACCTTGCCTCTGTATAAGCATCTTGTGTTGTCCTTTAGTTCCTCTCTTCTTTGTGGTCATGTTCCTTGTCCACCAGGTGTGGAAACTTGCAGTTGACAGCTTCTAGTCCACTTTTTCCCCCTGGGTAATGCTTCCAGAGTGTATCTACCATCTTCCCCTTGCTAACTAGCCTAAACCCTCAGCTTTTCTTGGCTTCCTTGGTATATTTCGTTCTCTCCTGTAGCATCTCTGCTTCTAATTGTGACGCATCCAGTGGCAGGCTTCCCAGACCTCAGCTTGGTGTTCACACTGCATAGAAGTCACAAGGGACAACACATTTCTCTTGTAGTTGTTTTACTTTATCTTTTTCTATATAATATACCCATTGCCTTTATCTTTAGTGTGAGGTTCCTCAATATAAATAAATAAAGCTAGTTGCCCACTTCAGCACAGTAAATACTTTTGGTCACCTAAGTAAGGAACAGCTAGTCTATTGTATACTTATTTTATTGTTAATGTACTATAATGAATAGATTTATGAGAGTATGATATCTTAACAGTTGTTGTATTTTGATATCTACAGTCCTTTATTGAAATTTTGCTACAGTTCTGACAAGTGAATTTATTACTTTTAAATGGAAATAGACTAATTGTACTACTTCTAACTTTATTACTTTTAAAAAGTCTGATGGTAAAGCAATGAAAAGTCAGACACTAATCCCTGTCCTTACGGAGCTCATATTCTTGTAGGGGAGGTAGTCAGTCAATAAGAAGTGATTAGTCACTGAGAAGGTTACTTTTGATAAAGCCCTCAAAGGAAGAGAGAGAAAAAGCATGTGAGTGTTGAGAGAGAGTGAGTGTTCCAGTTTCAAGAAATAGCAAGTACAAAACCCCTGCAGCAGGAGTGTGCCTGGCATGGCCTCAGGAGGCCAGTGTAGCTTGATCAGAGCCCAGGGAGAGAAAAGACAGTATGTGAAATTACACAGGGGTCATGTGGTTTTGATTTTCTTTTTTTTTTTTTTCTTAATTTTCTGTTAAGAATGTTTGCATTTTTTCTTTATTGGCAGTTTGTAGTTCCAAGATCTAATTCTTATGGTTGTCTTGAGGGGTACAAGAATTTTATTTATGACTTCCCCAGAGTCATAAATAAAGAGTGTGCCTTAGGCCATTCCCATGAATAGATAATTTGGACTTTCCCTTCAGTTTTTTGGAGTGTCTTTATGATTTTCTGCAGATCACCAAAAAGAATAAAAAGAATATAGGAAGGTACTAGTAAGCTGCCATGCCGTGTTTCAACTGAAAAGCTCTTTCTGTTCACAAAAGCACAGACCTAACCATTACTCAGTAGACTGTTACAGTCATGATTTTGCATATGACCTTAATTTATAGATGACAACACTTGAATGGATTATAGGGACTCTGGAATCAAAGATGCAAGGAGACACTCTTCTCCTTGTCAGAACCCAGATTAATCATTAGCTTCTTAAGGCAGGGAAGGAGTTTTGAAAAGGTCCTTTTATTTTCTACTTAAAGTAATATTAAGCAAAATTAGGTATTACCTATGCTGTTCCTCCTCTTCTTTACTGATGAGGTTTTTCCACTTGAACTCATTCAAAGGCCTAAGAAGAACTGATCCTTTTCTTGTTTTTTAATGATGAATAGAGAAAAAAAGCATTTATGCATGAGCAAACTCTGTAGAAATGACTTGGATTCTGAAGTACCTATCTCCTTTTGTTATGCCCAAGATGTTTGACAATAATTACATTCAGTCACGTATTTTTCTTTCTCATTAGAGGCACTTTTCACTAACAGATACATTATAAAGCAGAAAGCATATAAAAATTCATTAGACAAAGTACAGAGTAAAGCTTGGAGAACAATTTATGCTTTTGTTTTCCCATTTTTCTTATAAAAATTATGTACATTATCTAGAGAAATAGAATGGCTGAAATTAGACAGTTTTTCAGTTTTGTATATTCACTGATGAAAAAAGTATTATTGCTTGGCAAATGGCTAGAATGGCAGACCAGCAGACCATATGGCCTCTTGGTCTGCTGGTGCAGATTTCCAAAGGGCCACAACTCAAACTAGGATGTGAAAATGGGAATTTTTGACCTATGTAACTGGGATATGTCTTGGGGAGATGGTCAGGCATGGTTGGATGTAGGGCTTTAGTGTTATTCTTCCTCATTTTCTATT